AATCCTACACTCTTGAAACATTTCGTGAATTAAATATACCACGACTAAGGAGTGTTAAGATGGTATTTACAAATGTGTCTTCTAAAATTAACGTACGTAGTAAACATGACAAAGCCTGTCTCATGAGCAGATGAGGGGTCCACCTTGTGTATGCATATCAATACATTTCACTGCATTTCATTCGTTTCGATCTAAAAAACACCATGTATGATTCTATTTTTACTATATAGGTCCATAGGATTTGTAAATATATATTTGTATAATTATTTCATCTTGATAAATATAATTCGGATGTCGTTTCTTAATTCCTTTTATTTATGGGGTAAACTTCGTGACTATAACATTAGATATATGAAATTTTAATCATTTTAAATATGGTTTGGTTGAATTAAATATTGTTTATACAGGTACTCTCTTCTCAAATAGTGTTGAAATCTTTAAAGTTGGCTTATGGTACGGCTTCCTGAGACGTCCAGTGTATTTTTCTTTTCTTTAGTTGGGCCCTTGAAAATAGGTTGTTTCTTTGCTTTAAAATACCTTTAAAAATTGCTGGGTCGACAACATTTGAATATCTGCCTGGTGGAGGGCTCCTAATTTAGACTTTTTCTCGGCACTTATGGCCATTGATCATAAAGCATCAGTAAGGGATCTTTATCGTGCCAACATCTACATGTATACTGTGATACTGCATGGCCCTACATTTTTACGGTCTCATTTGACTGACCAGTTTCCACGCCCCACGTCGGGACCTGTGAATTAGAATAAGCTCCTGAATTACGTCGGGACTCGAAAACGAAACACTAGAATTACTGTGCCACGCGAGGCCCTTGACATTTTATCTGTGTAAGAAATCGATGATAGTAGGTTTGAAAAAAATATACTCGGATGGCCGATGGTTGGGTATTTGCGAATCTTGTCTTTTTGTAGAAATTCAATTTCAATAAATTTACGCTGGCCTGAGATATTTCACAAGTTCTAATGAATAATATTTGTGAATTAATTTACCATACATGTTGCTTTTAAATTTCATTTGTATGATATTCGGTTTAAAAATCGGTTTCTTTTGTTCTTTCTTATTTTTAGAGATATTCAATTTTCAGAATGTATTTTCAAAACTGCTGTCAGAAAAAAAAAAAATTACCTACCTACCTACTCAACTTGAAATTTTAGGGTCGGGTTAGGGGAAACAAAGATAATTTTAATGATGGCCCGATGTATCTATTTTGTAAACGTCCGATATGCACATGGATGCATTCATAACAATGTCAACCCGTGCACGCACGGGTCAAAATCTAGTATATTTAATGTAATTGACCAGCAAAATGTTCTACGTAGGTCTAACAAATGTAATTTAAGCAATGTGATAGTAGAATCTATATAGGTTTGCACCACTTTTCACAAACTACAAAGAGAATTGAAAATACTGATAAATTTTTGTTTGTTTGTATGTTCTTTAATTCCCTCTCGAGAAATTTTCACTCATATGAGACGCCACCACTTGCCGGTGGAGAGCTGCAAATTTTGTGCTATACTCGGCACTTACGGCCATTGAGCAGTGAGGGATCCCCCTCGTGTCAGCACCTAATGCGACCCGGGACCTCGGTTTATACGGTCTCATCCGAAAAACCGGTCTCCACGTCCCACAGTGGGATTCGAACCCGAGACGTAAGGATCAACTCCTTACTTCGCGACTCTAGAGCAGACGCTCTAACCACTGCGCCAAGCGGGCGACAATAATGATACATTAAACTGAAGGTACTTCAATCCTCAGGTTCTGAAAATCAGGCATTGAGTAACTGAAAATGCCCACAAAAATGTCTCTGAATTCTCAAAGTAACGTGTTTTTACCCACGATAATTCTTCAAACTTCATCTTTAAAGTTAATCTTATAATATAGGGAAAATTTAGTAAACCTCAAATAAATTTTCAGGAAATGCGAATAAAAACACCTACTATACATTTTCCAATTCAAATATGATCAACAAACGCATTTTAGAAATAAAAATCATAGGAATCCAGGCTTTTGAAGGGATTGCACAATTTTTATACATATAAGGTACTTTAATTTCTTCTATTTACTTCGATCATTTTACAATGCATAGTGTATAAAGATTTTCCTAGCATTGCAAAACACCATAAATCACTTCTAATTTCATATCATGTGAATAAACATTGATATCTATGGTTAGATTAAAATGAACCTTAATTTCTTTAAATATGTAATTTTAAAATACTTTTATGGGGTAAAAATTTCGACTTTTAACAAGACCTTTCTGAGAACTTCAAAGAACCTTGAAGCACATTAAGAGGTATGAAATGAAAATTGTTGCATGAAAAGATTTAATTTTTAAGCTTTATTTTGAGACTTTTTGAATTAAATTATAGATTAAAGAGTTATCCTTCCTGGCTGAGGATCGGAGTACCTTAATTTATCATTTTTGTCGCCCGCGTGGCGCAGTGGTTAGAGCGTCTGCTCTAGAGTCGCGATAAATTAAACTTAAACTTGGCTTTGCCCTTCCAATATTGTAATTTATAGATGACCTCAACTACTGCAGGTATATTTGCTAAAATCACGAAACTGTCACATCACGTGACAAGTCTAAATAAGAAATCTAATCGTCCTCAACACGTAGTTTTGAAACACATAACAATAAATCGCCCAGTAGCTTGCCTCGTTTTATAAATTGTTTGTACATAGAGCATGTCGCCCGCGTGGCGCAGTCGTTAGAGCGTTCGCTCTAGAGTCGCAGGTTCGAATCCCACTGTGGGATTCTGAGACCTGTCCTTCGGATAAACCGAGGTCCTGTGTCGCAGTAGGTGATGGCACGAAAAAGATCCCTCCTGCTCAATGGCCCTGAATGCTGAGTAAAGGACTAAATTTATAGTCCTCTACCAGCAAAGGGTGGCATCTCCATTCGAGTGAAAAATTTTCGAGAGGGACGTTAAAAACAGAAAAACAAAACATAGAGCATTCTTTCCGTATCGAGTTAACTGGGATATATGCAGGTGATAAGGTTATACATGTATTGCTACATAGGTAAGGGAAGTTAACAATAGACCGTTTCACTATAGCTGCCGCGCATGCGTATAACTACTTCCGCAGGGCAACTTGTTTACATAGGTTACGCTGACTACTACGGTACTACGACAAAGCCACATTTACTTGATCGAAATAAAGGATTCTTATATGAAAGTTTGTTTGTTTCCTGTTTTTCTAACATATTTATACCTTTCTTGTGTTGATTATGTGTAAATATATAGAGAAATTAAAAAAAAAACAACACAGAACCGAGTTTAGTGCACAAAGCGGGGCACTTCCGTGTTCATCAATACGAAGATGGCTTTGATCGAAATAAAGGATTCTTATGTGAAAGTGTGTTTGTTTTTTGTTTTTCTAACATATTCAGACTTCTCTTGTGTTTATTATGCTTGAAGATATATATTTATATAGAGAAATTAAATAAAATCAAGATCCGAGTTTAGTGCACAAAGGGGGCACTTCCGTGTAACTTATCAACGCGAAGATGGCTTCCAGGGAGAATTTAAATGACCTAAACAGGAAAAGGAGAGGGTCTCTTGCTGAAGTGCCCATCAAGTATCAGACAATGGCATTGGTGGGTACTGTACCCGAGATTTCTGGGTGTGAAAACCTCCCCCTCTACAGTCTGCGTCGTTTTCCCCTGCCACGCCCACCTCCCTGCCTAATATCTCTTTTCAACAGATCTATCATCATTGAGGCAAACAACATTAAAGAATTTTAAGGGATTAGATAGAGCAATTAAGCATTTTGAGGCTGGAGATATATCCCAAATAATGACAGCTCAGGTATGATGGTTAAGCATGAAAAAAGTATACTCAGTATGTTTATGTATCATCGTCCTTTTTAACATTTCAACTATGTTAATTTTTCACCTTTTATTTGGAATTCCACAATAAATATATAGGGAATTGTTTACTTAATGGAAATATTAATTACTCTAATAAAAGGGTGAGTGAAGACGGACTTTAAAGAAGAGAATAAAGCCTAATTTAAATAAACAGTAACTTTCTATCTAAACGTTTCACGTCACTGATGCTTAACATTTATAAATTCAAACTTATAGATTGATGAGTCCCTTGACTACATCAGAGCTTACTGCTTAGCCTCTATGAAAAAAGTGAAGTACAAAGTTTTTCTCTGTGTTGAGAACAGGACGGACAACGGTTCAATTTGCCTATTGTGAATGTCCAATTGGGTAGGCACAATTGTAAAAATCAATATGAAAAATAGAAAGTTAAACAAATAAAAAAATCAACATCTTCTTAAATTACAAACAAATTATACATGTATTTTGTTTGATATAGTCTAGCCCAAACATGCAGCCATATTGGTGGACTGCTATTTTATTTACACCACTGGCATCTGACCGAGGTACTTAAGTCAGACAGCGCAACCTCTAGACCATGCCAGTGGAATGTCCCCCGTCCACTTAAGATGGACCCCATGCCCTTGAGGGAGTGGAATCTTGGGCGACCAAAACTAACGACAGAGGGGGAACTGGAGTACCGTGAGAGAAAACAATTAGACTTTGATCCTCGGCATCCTGAAGAGCGAGAATTTAACTCCAAACATTCCATGGAACAATTGATGATGTTAAAAAAATATTTCCCAAAACCGGTATACAAGAAGTAATCTTTTCAGTTATGTGCATGAAAAAGCAGTACATAAATCATATTAGATAAGAATAGATACTGGTTCAGTTTAAGATTTATTTTCAAAATCTTGATAAAATCAATCTACTAACTTCCAAAGGAAAATGTGATCTCTCTAGTGGACACAGAAGTGTTATATATCAATGTGCAGGTTAAATAAAAGAGCTGACTACAATTTAAAAAGCATGATTTGCAATTTTGCTTTACAAAAAAATGCAATGTACATGTATATTACAGTTTATACACACAAAATCCACCAAAAAAAAAAAATATTTAGTATTACAAAACATCAAAATTTTCATAAAAATTTTTATTCTAGGCATGAGTCACTTATGGACCATTCCAGAAGAGACACCTAATCCATCTGGGGAAATTGAAGTTAGAACAACAGAGGATCCAATGGAAACAGCAATGAAAAGTCTTGTATTGTCCGAGGAGAACTGAAAGGGAAAAAGTTTTCTGTAAATTTATGCTATAAATTGAAAATAATCTTTATCTAAAAAAACATTATTGTTACAGTACCCATTCCAGTTTCTATTGATGAAAGCCTGAGTGCTTTCATCGAGCATAGAACAAGAGGCCAAAGAGCGTGCGAGATGTGGAAGGAGCTGCATAAAGGACGAATAACTAGTTCCGTATTTGGTTCTGTTCTAAAACCAGGACAAACTCCCCACAGCCTAGTCAATCAGATAATGAATGGATCGAGTTTAGATAGGTAAAGGAATAGGTTTAAAATCTTAAAAACTATAATAATCCCTACGTTTTTAGTCTGCATTGAATCAAGTAGCATAGCACATCAACAACTTCTGATATATCATAATGTATAACATTTTATATTTAAGGTACCAGACACTACCTTTGCCAGTCAAGTGGGGGATAGAGAATAAGAAAAATGCCCTGAAAGACTACTTGGCCCTCCAGAATCTATTACCAATCTCAGAGTGGAGGAGTCTGGACTCACCATATACCCATCACATGCATTTCTGGGAGCAACCAGTGATGGATGGTATATGATGAATCCATGCCAGAGGGAAATGAAAGAGGGGTCTTGGAAATAAAATGCCCATATTCCATCAGTAATGAAGTTATTACTGACAAATGGGTACATGTTCACCTCCCAAGTTGTCTTTGTTATTAGTCATACTTTAAGTAAAGCAACCTTAAATTGGCATACATTGAACAGGTGCATGAACTGGTTGGTAAAGAAGGTTTTTTTCCTTGGAAGACACTGATGGGGGACCCAGACTGAAAAGAGAGCATAAATATTATGCCCAGATTCAAGGGGAAATGGCCATTATGCTTTGTGCATGGGGTGACTTTGTTGTGTGGACAGCAGCCAGACAGAACAACTGCTTTATAAAGAGAATTTATTTTGATTCAGATTTCTGTTCTTTGATGATGCCTAAACTTGTAGAGTTTTTTGTTTCACATGTTTCATCTTCATACCTTAAAATGTAAATGTTCTTCAATTAAGAAATTAGGTAACATTAATAGGAATATACATGTAAATATGGGTTGGTCTAATCCCAAAAAGTTCAAAAGGTGTTATGGAAGATTTGATCACATACCAACCCATATAAATGTTTATCTAGAAATATTTACATTTCCAAATATTTTTTCCCTAAGATTCTTTGCAAATTAGAAAAAGGTCATATTCGCATGAACTACCATGGGATGAGTAAGAATATTTCCCTTTTTTCAAAAATGATCATTGAAAGACAAAAATATGTGGGAAGTCATCAGAAAAATAATGGCAATATAAGATATGAATTTAATTTTTGAGAATTCATGAGGTACATGAACTACAACGCTTCACGCACGAAGCGTCGTAGTTCATGTCCTCATGAATTCTCAAAAATTAAATTCATATCTTAAATATGTCAATATGGTTATGATGTCACTGTGATTGTTTATGACTAAAAAAAAATTTTTTTATACAGATTTATATATGCATTGCTCAAATAGTATTAAGGAAGTGAAAATGAAATGAAAGATACATGTATAACATCAGATAAATTCATACTAACCTGAATTTGTCATCATGGATTACTTTCAACCATAGGGACATCAAGGTTGGTAAGCCAGCAGCAGACAGAAAATATCTGAGATGCCAGTTGCACTAGAGAAAGAGAAAGTACACCATCAAAAATGTGAAAATTTTTTACGCGTCCTATAGCTCTTTCGACATGAATCCGTAATTTAGCAATATCTTGAGTGTTAAAAACATCTACAGTAGAAAATTGACATGAAGAAGACCGAAATGGCGGAATATTCAAACTACAGCCTTTTTTCTCTAATAAATCCCTAATAGTGAAGCCCTTGTCTGTCATGACAACATCCCCTTCCTCAAGCAGAGGTGAACGCTCAATCCTCTGCCGATCCGAGATCTTTCCATCAAAGCCCTCTGAAACAAATAAGATAACACCATAAGGAGTTATACCAATCAAAAATTTTAAAGTTGTATTGTGTTTGTAATGAGAAAAAGATTGATTCTGGTTTATCAAACTGTTAGATTTCTGAATGAATATCTCTGTGCAATCAATCAAGTATGACTCTTAAATTTTGAAAAGACTTAAAGCAAGTTGGCATATTTCTCTTGACAACATCTCTGGAAGGAAAGGGATTAAGATCCTTCAGTTCCTTGTGAAGTAGGCAAATCCAGGTGGTAAAGTACTGAGAGAAGGCTCCTACAGAAACACCAAAACGCTCTGCCATGTCTTGTACATATAATCCAACCTTTAAAATGATTCAAAATTAAACTTTCAAAAATACGACGAAATCCAACATAAAATGTGGCTTATTTTAAAATACTTTGTACTAAACAGTTATGTTATTATGCAATACTATAGTAACCAAAGAATTTGTTATCCCATAATTCTGCAAGAAGCAGTTCTCATGATTTAAAATTACTCCCTTTTGTTTTTCTATGGCTGAAATTCATGTAATAGGTCTTGATCAACAGACCATTCATGAATTCAATTTCTAGCAATTTGTAATTTAAGGAAGTGAAATCATGAATTCAATATTCAAGTATAAATATAAGGAATCTACATTAACTAGTACAGTACCGACCGGACACAACCTAACACCAGAGTGAACCCAAAGCGCACCCCGGGTTCGCTTCCTGGGTTCGCTCGGGGTCCGCTTTCAGAAAATTTGGGACCGCTCTGGGTGCGCCTCGGGTTCGCTCTGCGTTCGCTCGGGGTCAGCTCTGGGTCCGCTAGAGCGAACCCCGGGTTCGCTTTACGCACTCATGCGTGAAGCGGACCCCGCTTTAATCTTGCCGCCAGTAAGCCCCGCCCCTTGTATATTCCAAATACAGTAGTGAAATCGATCATTACTGTTTTTATGGCGATCGAAACATGTACACGTAAGTGACAATATGGAGAACGTTGATAAATTTTCAAGAATTTCACCGTACATTCGACGTAGAATTATCACTTTTATTTTTCCTAACTTACAAGCTAAGTATATCTCGAAAGAAAAAGAAGAAAAGGTGTTAAATTTATTTTCGATGTATCGGATGGAGTGAAATTGATAAGAATATCTTCATAAAAAAAGGCTTTCAAATTCATTTGTTTACATTATTCATGCGTTTTTAAATAAGTTGGAACTTCCAATTGTAATTGCAATTGCTAAATCGTAATTTAAATGTTTGAAAGACAAACAACTGAATTATGATCTTATCTATAAAATAGTTGAGACATACTGTACACGTAAAATGCTAAGTTTTCATATTTAGCAGTTTATATTTAAGCTAGGTTGTCGTCCATTATATGTATATATTTAGGTCGTGATAATCACTTATAATTCTCATACAGTGTAACTTGAGTTTCGTTTTACAGATCATTTATAATTTACTTCCATGCTATAAATCATTGTTTTATAAGGCGAGTTTAACGGAAGACGTGAAAAAAAAAAAACTACAACAACAATTAAAAAACCAAAACAAACAAACAAACAAAAACTAATAACTGGTTCACTGATAGGAATATATCATTTTTTAATGTTGTTCTCAAATACATGTAAATGATCACTTGAATAGTTTGTGTTCCTTACTGGTTCATGACACCCCCCCCCCCCCCGCCCACTACATACATGTACATAATGGAGCGGCAAGTTAACAAAAAAATTCTAAATGTTTAAAAATGAATAAAAACAAGAAACAAAACAAACAAAACAAGAATTCAATAACTGTAAACTCGCATGATTAAGTAGATGAAATTAAGATAATAACGCCCGATGTTTTTTTGTTTTTTTGTTTTTTGGTGTTTTTTTTTTTTTTTCAATTTCGATGAGCCCCCCACCCCTCTCCGTACTCGAATTGTTTTCTATGGGCCGGTTGTAGCGATTTTAATTTCAAATAATATACAGTGTTCTCTCTCTCTCGTAAAGCTATTTTTAAATTACTGATTTTCAGCATTCAGGTGGCAGCAAATTACATGAACATGTACTCTTCATGCAACGTACCAAAGAACTATGACGTTTCCAAATTCAAAAATCCAAAAAAAAAAAATAAAATAAAAAAAAAATTATGATAATAATAATAATTGAATTTCTCATTGATAACGTGCCCAGACGAGGTACATGTAACTTAAGGGGCATCGAATGTAGGGGGAGTATACATGTATACTCAGGTATACCGTGACCATGGAGACAGTATACATCCAGCTAGCAAGTTCCAAGTAAAAAAACCCACCGCAATTGCTCTTAGCACCCGCAATATCTTCGAAACAGGTGGATGATTACCGACACGTGATGACCTTGGCTTCACTTTGAAACTATAACTATTAAACTGTTAAAATGAAATAATTATGACAATTACAAAAGTTCAAATACAGGTACCTATGTACTTAAAAAATATATGTACGTTTTCGTATTAAGGTATCTTTGCAAGTTCAATTTACTAATGCTGGAATTACGTGTACTTTTCATGCACAAGTACAAAACGTACCCGTCTAGTATTTTTTTGTTATATCCATATAAAGTATTTCGAAAATTACATGTAGTACATGTAAGAGGTTCGTGAACATGTAAACCTGTATAATTATATATATCGACGCGAAAGAAAGTGATAAGCGGTTTTTTGTTTTTTTTTATTTTTTTTTTTTGTGTTTTGTTTGACTGACTTGCAAGTACATGTAGTTACAAAAATTCAAAAACATACAATGTAAGGTCTACATGTAGGATAATTAAAATTGACAAAATAATCTTTCCCTATATACATGTATTTAAATCAAGCTAGTTATTAAATTTTGGTAAACGATTAATTAAAAAAAATATCATAGTAGTATTACCAGTTAGATTTTGGTTATAAGTTATAAAAATAATTCCTGGACTGTATCCGTTGTTTTGCGTAAACGGGGAAGAAGGAATGTTGGCGGTTAATACAGTGGCGGCGCTGTGGGGCCCTAATACAACGTAAATGAGAAACGTGCCGTATTCCCTATGGTCTTCCTGGATAAAGTCCAAGAACTGGTAAAATCAGGTTTCCGAATTTATTATAGACGATGGTAAATAACATCGAACATGAATTTCAACAATAGCTTACTTACAAGACTTAACCGAGTTGGATGTGGCCGGTAGAGCATCGGGCCTCCAAACTGAAGAAAGTATAATGTACATAGCTTTTTGTAAGATTAAGAGTAAACAATGATTGACTTATGACACTAGTTGAGTTGATTGATGGACAGGTGTGTTTCTTTGATAGAATGGACATGAAAGAGGTTATTAAGTAATAGTATAAAGTTATTGATACAGGATTAACAAATCCCGAGGCATTAACACCTAATGAGTGGATTCTGTGACAAAGTCACCGAGTGTCATTTGGACTGTCTTAATCCGGCTTCAAAGGAAATGAGATAAATAGGAGTTATGGACACAATTAATTCGATATTAGCACATAGTAAAAACAGATAAAGAATTTCATAGATAAACGTTCAAATTTAGTATAAAATATTAAAAAGTGATTTTAAATTCAAAAATGTTAATTTTGCTCGGTGACAGTAGTTAAAAAATGAGATTTTTTCTCCAATTTACGTATTGACATAATGCACATTTATACTGTACAATGTACATTTAATTTTTTTTCATGATCAATTATTAAGACCGATAATTTCGATGTTGATCTGTATAAATTAAAAAGTGCATGTAAATTGAAATAATGAATAAAAAATAATTAAATTAAAGCACATACATGTACATGTTCTTATACTGTATCTTGAGATAATAAAATTCTTTATTTTATCGAAGACCATTTTTTTTTTCTTTTTTTTTAGTAACAATTGTTAAAACCATTATTATCTTCTTTTTTTTCTATTATGAATTAAAGTACTTATTGTCTGATAAATTTACGCAATGTATATTTATATATTAATGGATTTTAAAAATATAAAGAAAATAAATATTTAACTATACATGTAACATGCTACCTGGATAATAAAAATATATAATGTATTAATATATTTTAAAAATAAAAAATAATGAAAATAGATCTGTAAATATTGCATGTTGTCTGGAGAATTAAAATATATAAATGTAAAATCATGATCACATTGATAATATTTTTACACTGTACATTCACACGCTTTGCTTGTACAATGTTTAGATTACAAACTGGCATGTTGACTGGTCGATGCGCTGATGGTCAACGCATTTTATCACTTATCCTGATTGACAGTTCTATTCAGCATGCTGATTGGTCGACGCGCTGATGAGTTAATCGCTAATCCTGATTGACAGCTCTGTTACGCAACACCGAACGCGCGTTCGCTTTCTGGGATCGCTACTGAATTTGGGGTTCGCTTTCAGCGTTCGCTCTGGGTTCGCCGCGGGTTCGCTACGGGTGCGCTCCGGGTTCGCTCGGGGTCAGCACTAGCGGACCCCAAGCGAACCCGAAGCGAACCCAGAGAGCGAACCCGGGATGCGCTCTGGGTTCGCTTTCTGTTAGGTTGTGTCTGGTCGGTACTGTATATGTATTAATTTATGGTAACCATAAGATACCTTAAGCCTCATCGATGTTGCCAAAAATTGGTTAATTGGTTCCAGTGCCATGCTTCGCCTAGCTCTACTCCTTTCCTCTGGAGTTGCTGAACCACCTATCCAGTAGACCATCTTCTCAAGCTTTGGTGCCAGGTAGCTAAATATATCATAAAGTAGGAGCATATTATTCTGGCAAGGGCCTAGGAGATGGTTAAAATTAATATTGCAAAAAAAAAACAAAAGAAAACAACGAGAGATAACTCTAAAATTTTGGTAAAACTCGTGTTTTTCACTATAGAAATCAACGGAAAACGGAAAATATTTTTAAAACATCTCTCTCCCCCCCCCCCCCCCCGTGAAACAAAGATTCCTTTTTACGGGTAATATGCACTGCCATTTCACAAATTCATACCAAAGCTTTTTGTGTTTCACGGGGGGGAGCATATGTTTATATACAAAAAACGACAAAAATGCTTATTTTTTCAGCAATTTCCAAGTGCTTTACAACTGAAACATTATATTTTACTAATATATATGCTTAATTTTATATGCATAAAACATAAGAAAAGATATCAGAAACATTTATTCATATCCAAGACTATTTCAGAATATGGTGATGCTTTATAGCCCTATTTCAGTGGAAAATATCGTCTACCCCTCTTATTTCAAGAGCTGGAATTAGGGATATTTTACTATTTAGCACTGGAATTAAAATAATTAATCAATTACCATTGAACTGTTCTTTGTATTAAACAAAGATTTTATGGCCAAATTGTCATCAATATTGAATTAAATGGTTGTAAAATGTAGGCGGGAATCGGGAGTTACCGTGCGTAGTTCTTTGCATTACTGGAATTTCACCAAGATAACCTCTATGCTAAATGTTAGCCCAAAGAAATAAATATAATATCTGCTAATTATTTAGCCTCCATCCTTCAACACACAAACAGTTAGTGAGTATAGGCCACTAAAATTTTTTCAAAAAAGTTTTCAATTAGCCCTTTCACGATAACTGCGGTACCACTCTTTTGCAGGGCAAATTAATAACTTTTACCGAAGTTTTTGTTGATAGATAAAGAGAAGTACCGCAGTTATTGTGAAACCGTCTATGGAATAAGAGGTATGAAGCTCTTAAATCATACTTGAAAAGCCACAGAAACAACGCAAAGCTTGGGAGTCCTGTATAGAACCATGGTCATTGCGTCATCATCTTTAATCTTGGCAACAGATCACCTTGTGTCTCGTATCCTCCTTAATTCCAACTTAAGTCTCTGATTTTCAAGTATAAGGGGGTCTGGATCACACTGGCAACCTACAATTCATGAATTACAATAAGCTGACATTTTAATGTACTTTAATAGCTATTTCATAAAATATACCTGTATGACTAAAAGCCTGTAAAGTACATAAATACAGCAAATATCTAATTTTTAACTCATATCTTTTGAATAACTATTTATGGATATTATTAATGATATTCTTGGAATGACAGTTGGATTTGTTACGGAAATATGTATGTCATCTAATTTTGTTTGTTGACATTGGTGTTCAGTGTACCTGTAAACACAATACTGTGTTAATCTTTCCTCCGCTAATCTAATTATTTACCAATATCTCTCTTCAGTGTAACTCCTGTATCTACATCATCTGCAATATGTCCTGACTGAATTTTTTTTAACATTTAAGCAATTAATTGCAGATTTTGGATGTTCATCATGTCTTAACATAGATGGTTGTACTAACAAATTGAATAATGTGTTAGTGAGTTATTCAATATTGTCAGCTCAGCTGTCTAGGTTATAACATGATGATTGTCCAAAATTTACAATTCAATTCAATACAATTGATTCTTTACAGTACATTCAAACCTTGTTATTCTTATCTACATGGGACTCAGTAAAACATCAAGAGAACAGTGTATTTGAGATATAGGGGATAAAATATTCATAAATGGTTGGGACTTCCAAATCAAATCTTGAAAGAAACTATTCCCACTCTGAAAGTCTTGGCGCAGATCTTAATACAAATAATAACATACACATTTTCCTCTTACCTTTGCAGTAGGAATGTACAAATAAAGAAAAGTCCAGACTTTTCTTCTCTCTTGCTCCTGCTCTCTCTGTACTGACACATGAAATTCCTAGAAATAATACAGCAAAAATTATTGTATGGTTAATGTTAAATTCAATGAATGTAAACCATTTCATCTTCTTTTTTTTTTTTTTTTTTTTTGGTGAAATGGGTTTGGAATGTGCCATATTTATTTCTCATTTTTTAGTTTTGTCCAAAGGCTTATTTTTTTGAAATTCATCTTATTATTATTTTGTCTCATTGGAGAAAGGTTTAGAACCTTCTGTAAATTTCTTCTGGCTAATCTCTCTTCTCTCTCTGGATTAACTGTCTTCATTTTGTATGAAAAAATAGTTGGAGCATACTCCACATCTTCAGGGTCATCACTGTGCCACCCAGTCACAAAATGCTCTGAGCACACACAGGTGTGTTCATTGGGCACAAAATCATCTCTGTTTATTGCCTTTATCCAAGCACGACGCTTTCGGCCGTCTTTGGGAAATCTATAACAAATACATGAATATTGAAAGAAAAACATAAAGATCAGCTAAGAGCTAGTTGTCACTCTTAGCTAAATAACAGAGGAATAAATATAACATAACAGTTTCAACTCAAGATATTGTTGTCTCACAATATTGGTATCATTTACATGTATAAAGTAAACAAATATACATAAATATATGAAAATAAAAGAAATTTTGCTTATAAATTAAATTCTTTGTCCATTTGTAAGTACCATCACTACAATGAGATGGTATACTTTACAGTTAAATAGACAGTTATATGCATGTATGTGGATGCTTTACATTAAATAACTTTTAACTTTTTAATATAATTTACTCTCCTCTTATGAAATGACACACTTGTAAAATTCTTTGTATGGCATAATGAATACGAAAACCATATAAAACAATGTATACTTGTATTCATATTGGTTGTTAATACGCAAGGAAATAGGGGCCTACCACGATTCAACCTGGATTTTAGAAAATTTAAAAAGATATTTGAAAGACTTACCTGAAAAAGTGTAGACCTTTCCGTTTTCCTTTCGTATCATCACGATTTGAACATTTGACAACACAGAAAGAGCGTACCATACTGAGACAAATCTTATGATTAAACCGAAAGCGCAATATTCAATAAACTGAAATTTGCCCTGCGGAAGTGTTTGTACGCATAAGGGAAGAGCAGTCTCACAGTTATCGTGAAACGGTCTATAGACTCGGCTACGCTACATGTTAGGAAGGCCTGAGTTCAAATCTGTGATGCACTGTATGGGAAGTTTCCTTGTGACGTCATTTAAAATTTAACATGCGACAAAAATATACTTAACCGAATGATAATGCATAATAAACAATTTGCATTCATTTATTTTATCAATTATTTATAAAAGCATGTAAAATCACATTTGATAACAATACTGCCAAATTATTAGAAGCAAATTTTTTGTCATAAATGACGTCACTAGCCTTGACATGATCAGTACGTACTGGTCCCTGTTGACAAAGCAGGTAACAACACTGTCTTTGTAAGGCTCATTATAGTAAATGTATATTAGAGGAACTTAATTCTTAGGATTTAATTCTACAAGTGGTAATCCAACTTATACTCATAGTTCTCTTTCTAAGGAAGAAATTCTTCAAAATCATATGTCAGTTTTGAATATTTTTAATATTCCAAACAACCAAAATAAATTTGAATTACCAATAATCTATATTGGATTCCGAAACTTCATAAAAATCCCTACAAACAAAGATACATACGGGTTCCAGTAAATGTTCAACCAAGCCTCTTTCTTTACTCCTCACTAAGATATTAACAGTGGTGAAGGGGAAACTTCAAGAGTACTGTGCAACAATACATTCTAGAAGTGGTGTAAATCAGATGTGGATACTTAAAAATTCCAAGCTTTTGAAAAACTTGAAATCACCAGATTTTACCAAAATCAACCGTTTAAATACTTAGGACTTTTCAACTTTTTGCACAACCATTCCCCACGATAAATTAAAATCCAGGCTTTTTAATATCATTGACAGCTGATTTTTCAACAAAAAATGGAACTCGTAAATTTACTTACCTTGACAATATCTATGTTGTTTTTGGAGACCAGGTCTTCCAACAATCTGTTGGAATATCAATGGGTACCAATTGCGCCCCGTTATTAGCAGACCTTTTTTTGTATTCATATGAAGCAGAATTTTTCCAAAATTCGTATACGTGATAAGAAGAAAAAAAACTTGCTGTGGCCTTCAACTCGACATTTAGATATATCGACGACGTATTGTCAATTAACAATTGTTATTTCCATTCTTATGTCGATACGATATATCCCGGTGAGCTTGAGATAAAAGATACTACAGAGTCTGACACATCTATTTTATATTTCATATTTGGATATTTTACTTGAAAAAGACGTTAATTGTAATCTAACAACCAAGCTTTATGATAAACGTAATGACGTTAACTTTTCAATCGTCAATTTCACTTATTTATGCAGCAGTATGTATACCTTCATCACTTGCATACGGGGTTTATATCTCTCAGTTGAATCGATACGCAAGTTCATGCTCTACGTTTGCACAATTTCTAAAGCGAGGAATTATTGACAAACAAGTTGATGAAACAAGAATATCAGCAATCTCGTTTAAAGTCATCATTTCTTAAGTTCTATGGTCGATACAATGACCTTTTCAGCAAATATAATTTATCATTGAGTCAAATGCTGACCTACGTTTTTCATACCAATTGTTAGGCCATTATTTACACACTGAATTGTCGACGGATTTTTCCGTTATTTCCCGATCATGACAAGGAGCACACGGTGGGTGTGACCGGTCGGCAGGGGATGGTCACTCCTCCATGGCACCTGATCCCACCTCTGATATTTTGGAGGTCCGTGTTTGCTCTGCACCTATTTTGTAATGTTTAATGGACTTTTGAGCTTGAATACTGTTCGTTATCTCCATATACACTACGGTCAACGCGGATCCCGCATTTTCCCGCGACCCCGCGATGGTGTTTTAATCCTTTCCGCGATACACCGTCGCGGTTTTCTCATCGCGGTGATCGCGGGCCCGCGAGTTTACCGTGACGGTGTAACGTACCGTTGTTGAGATTTAATCGAGAAAGATGGTGCCTGCTTGTTTTCTGTTTTATTCTCTGTTCATATTAAAAAAAGTTAAGGATAAATTTAGAAATGTTACACGATAATTTTAAATAAGAGGCCAGTATAAAAAAATACTTTATTTTATACTTTAACTCATAGAATTATTCCTTTCAATGAAGAATTCAAAGTATACTGTTCTCATGTTCAAGAAAAGTCAGATATTTTTTTGCGTATTTTATTATGAATATTGATGAATGCATCGCGTCAACCTCTATTTCACTTTCGTTTTTCATCCGCGTATTTTAATATTTTACTAAAATTATTTCCAAAAAGTACGATTCTTCAACACACTGTACAAATAAATGTGACAAATATATTGTGTCTGCGTGTGTGTTTGTGGGTTCGGTGTGTAAATTAAAGGTGCATATAATTAAATATGAATGCAGATATAACAGTGCGACATTTAACTCCGGACACGACATTTGTCCGGACTTTCGCCAACCACTTTTCCAAAGATACATGGAAACCATTTATGTCATCTGGTGGGATTTTTTTAATCGCACAACATGGACTAACCTTTACACCTGAATATCTTCTAGATTAAAAGATATTACACCTGTAATCAAGAAATCCCATGGGATTATGGTGGGATTTTCTCTCCTAACTAATATCCCACCATTATTCTGTGGGAGAAAAATGAGTTCTGTGGGATTTTTTCTCCTATAGAAGCAAAACTCCCATTTTTAACCTTACATGGGATTTTTTATCCCATAATTTGTGAAATAGGACAAGAAGTTCTATAATTGTCACTAATAGGATTAAAAGTTCTCTAACAAAATGATTTATAGAATATTTTATCCTACAGGAGAATGGAAATTGTTTTTATCTCTTTAATGTACAGGGAAAAACAGTCCATCTTCTTTTAATCTAATACCATGAATACAGTCAAGGGTCAAAATTATTTTTGAAAGCTTTTTGCCATATAATTCATTGCAAACTTAACATTTTAAAATCATTACTTTAATATTTCTACTCTAGCTTTATATCACTATAAAAAAAACTTTACTGTCATATTATATACATGCTGTGGTCTAGATATAAAATTGTTATTCTTTACTTTTATCAGTGTTTATCATAAACCTTAAACACTGTTAAATAGACTTCTGCATGGATCTATCTTGAAATGATTTCATAATGAATGGTAACTAAAATATTTTTGTAAATATCATTGAAATAGGTTTGTAATGGGTTATAATTATAAGTGCTGAAATACTTCCGACCTTTAAATGTATTTTATGAAACCACCTTCTCGGGTGTTCCTTATACATAGGATGGAATTCCATAACTGAACTGAACTAAACATGCTAAAGCACCTTTCTTTTTGACTTATTAATTGCGCTGAGGTGATTGTGGACTAATTCAAGCATTACGTATTAAACCAATATCTCAATAAAATGAATATAAGACTAAATTGATTTAAAAGTACGTGAATTAA